GCTTGTAATTCACTTAAAGTAGACGAGATAATCGACGTACAGTAAATTCTCGATGAGTTTTCGAAGGCTCCTCGACACTGACAAGGAGAGGTCCCCAGGTGTAACGCTGACTTTTTAATGAGGTTTATCACAGTGATAGAGCTTGCAAAACTGAAGCCAACGAAATTTGTTTCAGTCGTATATGGCTATTAGTTTAAAGGGATATGATAGGCTTAGGTGTTTAATTATCAAACCCTTTATTTATTATCACGAGTTAATTTATTGCAAAGGTTTGTGCGTCTACAATAGAATCTCGACAGACTGACTTGTTTCGATTGAGGTGAATCCACTATTTATATGGAAGAGGTCGAAATCGCCGTTACGCCTTTGTCGCGGATAGCGACCGAACGCTGCGCAGCGCCGATTCGAAATTGCCCTGCTGCGCGTACCGAGGTTAGCCGTTGTGTTTAGTGCCTGCTTTCTTTTTCTTACCAGCTGCGAATAACCATTTGATATTTCGAGCACGACTACTACAAGTTTATGAAATGTTTTATGTTCAGTGCCGAGAAGGCTTCGAACACTCATCGAGGATATACTGTATCTCTAAAAAGTACTTTGCACACTGCCGTTCATAAGTATTAGGACATCTGGCCCGTATGAAGAAAGTGTGATGTTTCATAAATATTATACATGTTGGGCCACTTTAAGTAGTTAATATTAGCGTGACTGTTGTCCAACGAACTTCAAAATTCCCCAGACAATATTTATTTTGTTCGAATTAGGAAGTGTTAGATAATCGCGTATAATATGTATAGAACGTCTTATTGCCGAAAGATTCTATTCAGTCAGCGATCCTTACGTAAATTTAAACCATTGTTACATAGTCCTTAATCGTATAGTTCGATAATAATAAAACCAAGTTGTTAATACTTCCTCTCATTTCACCTGCACCGTATAGAAAATCTAACATATTTTAGACCTTCAATAATTTCGTACTGCCTTATTTCGTTTACTTCATATGTACACGATAAGTATCCTAATACTTATGAACAGGAGTGTCCCTCAAAAAAGCATATTGGGTCCTAGCCGACCGAGTTATAGGGATGTAGGGCCCACTCACGTGCCTGCTTCCCCTTCTAACCGTTTTTTCGCGCTGTATGCCTTCGTAGAGACAAAAAGCTCTGACTCTTGCCTCTGTTACTCTAACAGTTTCCTGCTCCCGGGAGCCGATTTTGCCCACCGCTGGTTTAGAGGATCAGAAAGATTAGAGAACGAATGAAGAATATCTAAAAGTAAGAAAATGAATTTTTTGAAAGAAAAAGAACAGTAAATTTAATTGAATACATTTACTACCAAATTAATGTATACAACATTTTAAGACTGGTGAACCCATTTCTGTAAACACACAGAACCTATGTATATTTGTCAAGAATAATCTCAATACTTATTTTTTACGTCTACAACCTAATGAAGAATGATTCATTTTAAACCCATTATCAATCATTGTATCATCCACATGTGGCTGACATAACTGTCGAAATGTTAAAGTATTACGTTATCTGCAGTTCCATTCAAAGGATTCTTAACCTAACATTACTCTATCACGCTCGAATCCTCGCAGGGGATTGTTCATTTACATCAAGTATACTCCACCGATAAAAGCCATATTAGACGTGGGATGACGTTCCACACAAAAGACATAAAAAGGTTCAATAGCATCCAGCCACTGAACATTGCTTATTGCATTAACATTCCGACCCGGAACTTTGTCGGATCAGGTCACCGTCGTAGCGGGCGAACTCTAAGAGCCGCAGTACAGCCAATAACTGTGATCGATAAAGCGCTGCTAATTACCTAGGTTCTGCCTCCAAATTGGAGCTTTGTTCCACCGATGAAATTAATTGACTCCATTCACTTGATAACACTGGATACTCGAGGACCGTTCAGTTGCTCGTTTGTCTTTGCCAGAATCATAGTTCGTCTTTGGAATCCAGAAGATAGTCACCTGTCCTGAAACACAAATTCTACTTCGCTCGAAACCTGGAATACACGGACACTCGGTCGATTTTCGACATTATATAATTCCACGGTCGAACACATTCGTTCCTCTGAACGTCTGAACTTTGCAATTACACCACCGTGCCGCGCAATAACTTCCCTTTCAGCGTATTCGTTTCACCTACAGTGTTTTCTATGGACTCTTGGAAAAGGAGAAAAATATGAAAAGAAGGAATATAGTTGCGGAAAAAGATACTTTCTGAAACTGAAGAAATACAAAAAACCTCTTACAAGGATTAAGGGATGATTGTTGAATTTAAACTATTGCATAGGTTGGACCACTATTGTAACTTGTTATGTGTAAGAAATTTGCGCTGTATGATAGACAATATGTGTTGCTTGTGTACCTACTAAGTTAGTTAATGCAATCACTATTATCATACAGATATTGTCTATCATACAGCGCAAAATACTCATAAATGACAAGTTCCAGTAGTGGTACAATAAAGTCATAACTTCTGAACTAATAAATTGTCGACTAAACTACGTTAATAGTTAATACTTTTTTAAAGAGAATACAAAAATGCATCGATTGGTTCATTCAGAAATATACAGTTCTATTAAGAAAAAATTGACGTGGTCTTGATTATTAATCGAATAAAAAGTTTTATTATGAATATTTACTATTGCAGTTTGTTGTAAACTGAATACCGACTAACTTTTGTTCGAAAAATGTTTTTATCAAATTAATCACTTCGTCGTTGGGAGGTTCACCATTCACATCTAGAACACATTTTCAACCTTGCATCCGATAGCGAGCTCATTTTGACGTACCGCTAACGAACGACACAGCCCCAGATGCTCGCTGAGCGCTCGGTTCGTGCTCGCATCGCCGTCCACATCAGCGCACGTTCGCTTCTTCTCTCGCTCAGATGAGTACGCGGCTCTACCGATTGGATGTCTGTTCCTAGACCATCGCCATCGATCAGCTCTTGAACACGAGTTTAAAGCGTATGTAACGAGGGTAGAGACCGTCACCCGGAACACGTTCACCTAAATCGACCTCTCAAAATTCACCCGACGTCGGTGTGTATAAATCCGTTCAACGTGCACGTGGTTACGTCACCCCGTCTGCATCTCGATCCACATTCTCCAGGAACCGCGAACCTTACACCCACGCCTCATAACGATCCACAATAATCATTCAACGATCCAACCCGCCACGTTGCCCGGTAAACTTTGCCACAACGTTACGTTCAATTGTACGGGGTTTCGCGTGTGCTTGTACACAGGAAGCGTATAGCTCATCTACACGTACATGCAAATGCAGCCCCGCAGGCAGCCATTCCCCGCTTCCGGTCCGCTGCCATGCACAGAATGCGTACGCGCGTATGCAGATTGCCGGCCGCGCTATGCACCTTTCCGCATACCTCGACCGACAAGAGAGATCGATTTGATCCCGGGCCTTTTTCATTCGGGCTGAATCGGTCGGAAAAGTATTCCGGATTCCCCTCCCCGACTGACCGACGAAGTCGGTAGCTATAGTTTTCCCTTTGTGGCGTGAAAGAGAGAGAGAGAGAGAGGGAGTAGAAAAAATAACGACTTAAAAATCTATGATAGAAACTAAAGTTAAAGAAGAACGGAGACGGTTGTCGTACGTTTTAATATCTGTTTTCACTTATGAAATTCGTAGTACGTTTTCATAACGTAATTTTTGTTACAAAATGGCCATTTTTCTTTTCAAAAACTGAAATAAAATGTAAATTGTTTGATATTTATAATTATATAAAAGTCCTGTACAACTTCTCTGTTTGTGTTAACGTACTGCCCCACGCTTGTCTCACGCAACAGTTGTTTGTCACAGCTATCGTGAGTGGTATAATATTTATTAAAATACTTAAATGATAAATAAATTCTTCTAAGAAAATTTTATTTACAAAAGTAATATTGAAATATGTAATAAAAGTGAATTCATGATTTTCACAAAAATTCTGCTTATTTTGATATATTTAAGTTTTCTTTACACGAATTACTTCTATTATGTGTTTCTGTTCTTCACTTTCGGCATGTTTGTTTGTAGTTCCTTTTTCACAAGAGTATCCGTAAGAATAGTAGACTTTACTCCTGACAACCATTCCCACTTATGATAAAATAGAAGAAATAGAATACAATCATGGGCGTAGCCAGGGGGGCAGGGTGGGCACTTGCCCCCCCTCCCTCCTGGACAAAAAAAAGTGGCTTTGCCCCACCCCACAAGAAAAAACTTGAATTTTGCCCCCTCCACCTCCCTTCCCAGAGTTACAACATTTTTGCGTAATATTCAATATTGCAGTATAATTTGAAACACGACCAACAGCATCCATTAACAAAACGCATACATTTTCAACGATTTGTGACTTCAAAAACAAAATAAAGCGTGTCTGGCGACGTACAGCCTTTTTCACTGTAGCAGTCGATGTGTTAATATTTTTGCCCCCCCCCCTCCCCGCCCGACTGATAACCTGGCTACGCCCATGAATACAATAGTACAACAGAGTAAGATGTTGGTAAAACTCTAGAAGAAAGTTGTATCTAAAAGAAAGAAGAATAGAAATATCACAATAACACCCGATATTATTACACTGAAAACGATAAGAAAATAAGAAATATTACTTCAAATGAACATAAATCAAACTTTTTCATCTAATAGTGATAGTAAATAATAAAAAATGATAGTTCCTAAACCAAACGGTTACTTATGAAAAACAGTAGGTACATTTTACTCCCTGTAATGAATCTGTCTGGCAGTCAGTCACAAAAATATACGAAATGTGACAACTAGCCGCGATCTCCCCTACGAGCGAGAAAGAAAAGTGGCACAGTCCGTTGTTCCAGGAGTAAATTAGAAAATTATTAATAATGATAAAAGCCCGGCCGTCGATGTTTCGAAGTTAATTAAATGGCGGCCGGTGAATATTTGTATAGTGGGAATGTGCCTCGACACTGGTCCCCGAACTCATCGATACCATGATTTTCAATTACAGGAATTGCTTGGTGGGCAAAGCTTATCACATTAAAATCTCGGATTTCGGCACGGACAACGAATTGTACGCGTGCGATTATTACAAAGTCGATGGTGCGGTGCCGCTGCCGATACGCTGGATGGCCTGGGAGTCCATATTTCTGGTAAGCTTTATTTAAACGATCCAATTAGACCTGTTCACGCGGTTGATGTACACGGATAATATAATATATCTGCCTTTTTTTGACTATCGTTGATTTAGTAATTTCAAAAACGATCTACGTATTATGCATGTTTCATTTTGTTATTTGTTACAGTCAGAATTGTATTTACGCAGTTTGAAGCGTTTAATTAGTCTCCCACTAAATGAACAGCTCTCTTTAATACAAACGATAATTCAGTCATTATTATTACTTCAATACTTGCACGAATTCCTAACTTTTTGTGAAACTTTGGTTTGACAAATTTGACTCCACTGCATTTTCTGTTTAGTTTGTAAGTTGATCCTATGTATTTGGTTTACCGATTGAAAATGGTACCATTCGATTCACGGTAATTAAAGCTTTTCGTAGATACATGTACATACACGGTATCTCAGGTCGAGTAATATAACCCGGCAAAAAGTGATTTCTATAAGAAAAAATAAGTCGAAAATAAAGAAGAAACTTTTTTCATACGAGGCTTCTTTTCGAGAAAAACCCCATTTAGAAGTTTCATGGAGTATGCGTGCATTCGTGGTGACAATAAGTAGAAACGGAATGTGATGCAAAGACACATTATCAAAATCCTATTCACTTGTACGCGTCTACAGTAGATTGTCAAATTCGATTATCTCGAAAACAAAGCAACGTTGGAAAAAATTGTATTGTACATTTTCAACTTGTTTTTATAAGTACATATGACTGAGACACCCTGTACATAAATCTTGTACGAAAAGGAGATGATTCTAGACGTTAAAATCCTTATCTTTATCCCTATTCTTATATAGAGTGGACTCTAACTACAATATATTGCCATGGTCGGGGCTGTAGGGGAGTAAAATGGCAATGAATTCAAAGCCCCCTCCATGCGAAGTTGTATCGTCATAGCCATGGCCTCAGCGCCTGCGCAATAGCTAGGTCGCGCTGGTGCGCCGGCGTACGCAACGTGATGGGAGAGTGAATTTGTGTGCTCGAAAGTACACCCACGAGCAAAGTCGGCTTCCGTTGGGGGAAAAGCAACGTAGGGGAAGGGCCTCCCACCACTTGACCACGAAGTCACTAAACTTATGCCACACTTACATGAACGAACCACATTCAGTTTAACATTTACTTCAGTACTCGACAAGCAACCAAATTTGCCCATAAAATTATTTTATTGCGAGTGAAATAAGTAATAAACACAATTGTTCACCAGTCTGTCAACAGCCAGCGTGTATCTGTCATTGTTCAGTGGCGCCATCGTCGCCCATTGAACGATTGGCGAAACAATCTCCCCCACTATAGCAGCAACGTAGGGAAGGCGACTCTGCTCGACTGCGCGAAACGGTCGCATAAGTCTGTCCTTCTCGCATTTGCGGTCTTCTTTTTATGGAACTTGCAACAAAGGACATAGTAAATATTACAAAAAAAGAAATAAAAAGTGCAAGAAAATAAGTACGATTAATGAATAATAACGAAATATGAAAAAATATTCAAATAATTTTCAGTAAATAGACTCAAATACTGAAAAAAAAATACTTTTTTTGCGTTCATTGTAACCATAGCGTAAAAATACACGATGTTCACTTCTACGATTTTCTGAACTGGAAAATCTCAACTTGGGAAAAACCCAATTTCGATGGCATGATCCCCAGGTATTGTATGTCCGCTTTTAACATCTTCGAGAAAGACAGTTTTAAGTAGATATGATGAAGTATGATTTTTATACTGCATAAATAAACAGTCAAGAACTATTTATCGTGTATAAAAACTCAAATTTCAGAAAAAGCGGACACGCAATGTTTGTGCAGTACGCCATTGATTAGATACCCCGAAGTGGCCTTTGCTTGTAGGGTTAATATGCAGAAAGTGGTTCTGTAATATTTGATAATTCCCACTTTCTTATAGAAAATAACAAATTACCAACATTAAACAATAAGTAACAACATTAAACACGAGATTCCGCAAACAGAAAATATATTATGAAATAGGTTACGAATAAATTTAAAAATAACACAAAATCAATCGCGTTTGAATATTCGCACATTACCTAAGTTTACCGATTATTGCTGAACTGCCCTTTAAAATGGCTATGTAGTTTCATCTCCTTCTAAGTCCGGAGTGTCGCTTCTTATTGTATCTCCTCTTTGCTTGGAACAGTCGAGCGACTGAGACAGACAAAAAAGTTTAAAAAGCCGCGTATCGATGTGACAATACAAACATGGGTGTGGCCAGATTATCAGTCGAGGGAGGGGGGGGGGCGAAAAATATTAACACATCGACTGCTACAGTAAAACAGGCTGTACGTAGCCAGACACGCTTTATTTTGTTTTTAAAGTCATAAATCTTTGAAAATCTATGCGTTTTGTTAATGGAGGCTGTTGGTCGTGTTTCAAATTATACTGCAATATTGAATATTACGGAATAATGTTGTAACTCTGGGAAGGAAGGTGGAAGGGAGCAAAATCCAAGTTTTTTCTTCTAGGGTGGGGCTGAAGCCACTTTTTTCCGTCCAGGGAGGGGCAAGTGCTCCCCTGGCTACGCCCATGAATACAAATGGAACTTTAAAACTTCTTGTATTTTTGTTTCTTTATTAATAAAAACTTTATTAACAGTTTAGTGAGATTCTTCTGGTTAAAATGATATCAAACATGATGCAATTTTGATAATTTGTACATTAACAAATGTAATAATGAAAGAAACACTTGATTAAGTAAATATTATCCAAATTATTTCATGTGTGGTATCAATTTAATCAGAAAAATATCACCAGTATGCTAATAAAAGTTTTGGAACGAAGAACCAAAAATAATAAAGATTCATCGTTGCGTTAGTATGTTCTCACAGATTCGTAGCTTTTTAAATTTCTCTGGCTGTTTCGACTCTCACTACCTTTTTGTATTTCACTCGCTGTCCTTTTCTTCGACTTGGACTCGTAAGGGAAAGTTCCGAACCCGAAAATTCTGATTTTAATGAAACTTCGCATAAATTTTTTGCGTTTTCGTTTTTGTTTAAATATGATTTTGTAACGGTACAACATAGAACAAAACTTTAAATACAGAAATTGTTCAATTCCTTTGGACTATTACACCACCTAAAGAAAAATCTTCTACGACGCGTCACGTGTAAACAAAAATATTTTTTTGGTATTTTTTACATATAAATTCTTAACTTCTACTCTTCTTCGGTGGACGTGAGTTCTGAACATTTGTCGAATATTCACTGCACTGCTGTATTCAATAGCAGGGGCACACTCTGTATGAACTTCTATATCCAGAACTGGAATAGAAGCCTGTTAATTATGGGAGTGAAGTTATGGCTAAAACAATATTATATAGCATAGAAGTTTTTGTACTTTTGAAAATTGATTGAGTATTATTGGCAGTGAATGGTAATCAGGAATAAATGAGGGACAAATGTTGGATAAATCAACTGTCTATGAAATTATGGAAATTTTTGTTTTAAATTTGCTGACATCAAGAAATGGGAAAACCGTACTACGCCTTGCAAATCAACCGTACTTAGTTATTCCAAAAAAATATTCTCCTTTAATTGAACTACTCTACTTCATGTAAATACGCGTAAACAATTTATCTATTGATGGGTATTGGTACATGGCTTCGCCATACCGAGGGCCACCATTTCGAACTAAAATTTAACTCGCAAGCTCAACTGCCCACGCAAGAGAGGGTACGTTAGCTAGTGTAGTATAAATCGACATTGAAAATTAAGAGGTCCAGTGCAAAGATCCAGTGCTATGCCACAAACTGTTGAAAAATGAGATTTTGATTAATTCTGGCACCTTTTGATATCTAGTTATTGTCCCTTAATTTATAACTACGTGGCAAAATTCCTGCCTGTACTGTAATTGTGAATACATATGTATATCATATGTATGTGTGAATACATGTACACAATCATAGTATGATGAACGTTATTTTTCATAAAAACCTTAACACCTTACAACGCTACTATTGTAACATAGCTCCGTCTTGCACTGGACCCGTCGAATCATCTGATGGATTTTTGGTTACAAACAGTAGAAACAGTGAGTAATGACCAGACACGTTAACGTAGTCCTATTCAGTACCACGCGTATCGAACAGATTTTCAAAATCAATTTTCTCGAAGATAAAGCAATATACCCAAAGAATCATCTCTTTTTCGGCTGTACCACTAATTTCGCCACATCTTATCATATAAATACATATACATAGAATATTACATACCCTGTTCCAATTATATCGATACCTGTTACATGGTTAACCTGTAGAGGACAAGGAACCTATTTTTAGGGTCTAGATGGATCGTTTACTCTTCGTATTATTACACTCTAACAAACATATAAAAATTCTAACTCAAAAATATTAAAAGTCATGAAAAAATCTGCCCGTCCTCTAAAGGTTAATATGGAAAAATATAATTACTCGAACGTCGTTTCCGGAAGGGATGCATGCACGTACCCAATGCTGTGGAAATCTATCTTGATGCGTCTGCATGTGCGTGTGTAGAAGTTACCTTGCGACTACTGATTTCAATTCCATCGACATAACCGATACCGATTTTCGCAGGGCAAGTACACGACGAAGAGTGACGTATGGGCGTTCGCGGTGACACTCTGGGAGATACTGAACCTCGGCCGACGTGTCCCATACGAGCACTTGTCTGACGAGGAAGTGGTACAGAGCCTACGGCGGTTGCACCGTACTTTGGAGGAGTGCGCCGAAAACAGTGGCGAAAACAACGACTGCAAAGTGAACAACACCGATAACCTTTACGACTATTTACCGCGACCGACCGCGTGCTCGAAGGATATTTACGATCTGATGCTCGAGTGCTGGCGCAGGGAGGAGAACGAACGGCCGACCTTCCGGGAGATCTCGATGTTCCTGCAGCGAAAAAATCTCGGTTACGCGCCCACGTCCTGATACTGAACGTTTCGCGACGTCGATCACCACGATGTTCTCGGCGTTTGTCGCTCGTGCCCGCTGGTCAGGAGCCACCTGAACGAGGTCTCGGAAATGATCGACGACGCCTTCTACCCACATTGGATAACCGTGAGAACGAAGTTCTGATTGGTTCCTCTTTAGCTACACAGCTCCCGACGGCGATCCGTCGACTCGAAGTGAAAGAAAAATGGACATCGAACAAGCAGATACAACGACAAAAAAACTTGGTCTCCAGCAACGAACGTTGAACCTCGGGCTGAAGAATCCTTGTCGAGCCGATCAGTGATCCTGAAGGAGCTGAAGAGGACTTCGAAACGTTCCAGACGGTAGAGCCATCTAGGTGGCTACGCGCGAATAGTCCCGCGGAACAGGATCGTGTGCGGGACATGGAAAACAGCAAATTGTGCGTAGACGGAACACGCGAGACCATCGAGACGCAACGACGTCGGAGCATTCGATAAGAACTGTTTTTTCGTAGACGTAAGATCTTGTTAGGGAATAAAAGGGTGAAACTGTGAATTCGACAATCGGGCGAGAGTACGCGGGGCTGGGTTTACCCTTCTCTAGAAACTGCCGCTCCACGCGAAGTATGTACCGTGAGACCATGGGTATCTTGAGGGCTTCGAGGGTCCGAAATATGATCGTCGAAATTTTAGGAGCAATATCGTGTAATCGTAATACAGCTGTGAACATTCCTTGCATGGTTTAAAGATATATCTTCGAGGTAAAATAAGGGATATTCGTTACTTAAGGAGCTAGAAGTTACCCAATCCGGAATTTACGTGTTTCCGTTTATAAGAGGCGTGGGGGGAATAGACCAGTGGATCGGGATAAGAGTCGCATCAACGTACGGCAATACGTTAACTAAGTGTCAAACTCCGCCTACGAAGGAGTTATCGATAGAATAAAAATGGTATACATATGAAAGGGGGTGTGAATGCATGTGTTTGTGAACGAATAGGATGGGTTACAATTCTCTTCGCGAGAAGAAAGTCTATCGTAATCGTTAGTTCAAGTTTCGTTTATCGCGTTCTCTTATCACATACCACGACGAAATCGGTATCAAAATTCTACGTAGATTGTTGTTTTTCGCCTGGTAGATCGACGTACGTTTATTCGAATGAACGATAACAATTTTACGGAGAGAAGATTGGAAGTAAAAACGCGCTTCTTTAAGGAACCACATGTGGTGAGTCTCGAAAATCTATTTAAGAAACAAGTACAAACTTTCGAAATAAACGAAGCTGACTGGGTGATATCTTGAGCTAACAGATCTCGATAAAGACGACAGAAAAGTCCCGTTCACTTTTCTCTTAAGTGTACATTTATTACTGAAACGGTGCTTTTTAAAGATTGCTATCAATGTTTTGAATTAACATACAAATATTTATGAGTTTTAAACTGAAAAAATTACAGACGGTTTCTTGGTGAATTTATTGACATCTATTAATTTTGTATAAACTTATACGGAAATGAGGGGAGGAATGGGAGATGTTTCTTAAATAACTTGTTCGAACTTACAATTTGGGTCGTGGTTCGACAAAAACGGGTTTCAACTACTGGTCCGCTCTTCGTCGAATCGCAATCGAAAAAGAAAGAGAGCTGTTCATCGACGTTTAAGGCTCGTTACAGAGTCGAGCGTACGGAGCAAATTATGTATACCTACATTATATGGGAGCGTTCATAGTTCAGCGGATTGTACGTTCGCGGTGCAGCCACACGCGTGATCCTTCCACATCAGCATCACATAACTCTATGGACGCAAATGTAGCAGTTAATAGTTGAGCGGATTCCGTCGAGGAATAAACAGTTACCATCGGTGTAAAATAGTTAAAAAAATGTTCATCATTTTCTCGTAAATCAGTATATAATGACACAAAAGCGCCTTTTAAACTCCTTTGAGCAATAAGAGGATGTATCCTGTATCGTCTATTTACTCGAATTTCTTTTTTCTTCCTTTTGTGTCAATTATAATACATATCAACATCTTTGGCCATTAATTTGTTCATACTTGAATAAAACAAAACTACGTACAAGAACTTCAATACAGGCTGTAATATAATATTTATAATACTTGCTACTGAGACACACGACGACTCAAATAAGACTAATCGCGATCAAACCGCGAACAATCCGCTTGCGAATGCTCCGCTCGAGTCTGTAACAGGCCTAACGAATTTCCACTTTCGACGAAAGATGTCGAGGTCGTGATTTTAAGGGTTTGGCGGATATCATACATCGTGATTTATGAGGAGGAACGATATACATATTCTCTGTTAAGGAAAGGGTGGCGATAAGGGCCGCGACTATGACACATCATAATTGTAACTTTATATATGATAGGCGGGATCAATACAAATACAACAACAAAAAAAGAAATGAGAATAACTAGAATATTGTATACATATATAGGCGTACATCGAGAGATAAAATGCGTTTATCATTGCGTTGATGCGGATGAGACGAGGTTAGGCGGCCGACCAATCCGCTTGAAACGTATTTCGGGATCGTGTTCCTTCCTCCATCGAACGCGATTTTACTTGAAAACCAAACAAAGCTGGTTGTTCGAGGAGTTTCGTGAGATTTTAATGGGAACTTCGGAGCGTTTATCCGGTGCGTGCGACATATCGAAGGGCTTCGGCTCACCGCGTCAAAAACGGGGTGACGAGTCATAGGTGAGGCACTTTGTAACGGGCAACTTTTACAAGGATTTCGAGGTTAAATGTTCGATTAGCGATGCTATTCACGCGACATTCAACTAATTAATCTCTCGAACCGTTATGTTCCATGTATTTATATCAGATGAAATACTATCGATAGCATTCGCAATATCTAGCGTGTAGGTGATGTTACCGTTACAACATTAAAAATACTATTTATATATCTTAATGTAATTCGCCGCGTAAGGAGTAGATAATCAGAGGCATAGCCGTTCGTATTATACAGACCATACGTCCGTTGAATTTAAACGTAACAAAGAGGCGTTTCCCGTCGCTGAACCGAAAAATAAGAGGGAAAACGTGCAAGAATCAGCGAGGATTCCAGGGCAGCAATCATAGTAGTTCGTATTTAGTATGGAATTATCGATAAGGGTATTAGTTCAAGTTGTAATTTTAGAGTAATTCGACGATTTAGCATTTTATACCGTGATCAGGCACACATTGTTCAGATAGCGATAAACATAGTGGTCGTTAGTTATCAAAAAATTGAAAAAAAAAAAAATAACAAAAGACAAAAAAAGATGATACTGCCGACAACTCCGCGCGTGACATTAGAGGAAAACGGATCATAGTTGCGTTTAGATTCATCGGTGTAAGCATATTGCTGCCTTTGGCTGTATCGTTGCCCCCCCTTACTGCTAACGAGTAACTCACTTGTCTACTCATGTGATAATTTAGTATATCTCTACGTACCTACCTGTACCTAGCGGTTCGGAAATCTCCAGTAGCAAAAGGATTATTCATCTTGCACTGCGTTCAATCTCAATTTCTAGCCGAGTCTATCTTGATCGATGATGCAAGAAAAGAAAAACAAAGATTAAACTAAATTCTTCCAGACCCGACGCACACGAGCGACACGCGTCATTTTGCAATCGCGTCGATTTGATGCCGCGTTTTGGCAGTACATTCATTTATAATTTATATTTATATGAAGCAATTTACACGTGACGCAGGTTTCGGCGTCATCTTCGCGGCTAGTTTGCGTTTTCCAAAACGAACGCAGGTATTGCAAGCCGCAAATGTGACGCTAATATCTCAGCAGACAGTCAATTATTTTTCTCGAGCAATTCATATATCCGATATGTGTCATTTATTGTACGAACAAGCAATATTTCCTCAGCATCAAAACGAAAACGACTTTAGACGACATGATGATTATTAAATTTATGACAATACCAGAGTCATTACAGAAACCGAATGAAAATTTATTATTTTTACAATGACTGCTTCCAATTATAAGGACTTTTAATGTAGATCAGAAAATTCAATTTAAAATGGAAGTTTTCATTATTATTAGTTCCTTCATTTATTATAAGTTCGTTAACCTAAAGACGTTTTTATTCATTTTTATGTATAGTTCATCAAACGATTTCACATTCACTCTAAAGTAAAAAATTTGCAAAACAAGTTACAAAATTTGACCTCATCTTCCCTTAAATCGGAAAACATAGTATTAAATGGTCCGTTAAGTAATCAAAAATATTACTAAAATCAGGTAATTACTAATTGTTAAAATTATTTGACCGCTCGTATGCTGCAGCTACAAAATTGACGCAAACAAGACGCAAAGTTGCCGCCGAAGCCTGCGTCACTTGTGAATTGCTTCATATAAACATGTATAAATTAATGTACTGCCAGAACGCGGCGTCAAATCGCGGCGACTGCAAAATAGCGCGTGCCGCTCCTCTGCGCCGGGCCTAACGGTAACCAAGCATACTTCGGAACGAAGGAAAATCGAGCAGTTGGGTTCATTTCGTTTTGCATAGATTCGAGATGCATAAACCTTTCTCTACTAAAAAAAGATAGTTTGCTCTCTGCAATCTAGATAGTTTACTTCTAACTAGCGTGTCCATTTTCCAATGGTTGCTTGAAGATCTTGTGTCTCGTGAAGAAAGAAATAGGGAACTATTCGAGCAACTGACTATCTGGGACCGTGACAAGAAAAAGGGAAGCAGTCATAATCCTTTTCGAAAGCTACTTTGAAGACCAGAAAATCTTTTTTCCTGTGATTTCTAACGCTTCACCGTTCTCGTTTTGTTTCAAAATGTGTTCAGTCAATTGGAAATTCTCCCTCATCATCACCGTTATCGATCAAGATTGCTAACACATTCGATTTTAACACTAGATTTACGGGCACTTATCGTGTAGGTATCTCCATGGCACGCATCAACGAACCCGCAGATTTTCTTTAAAAAAACAACTTATTTTATATAATACACAATTTATGATCTCTGAAATTAATGCATAGCTATAGAGATA